CCCCAAAACCCCAAAACCCCAAAACCCCAAAACCCCAAAACCCCAAAACCCCAAAACCCCGTTGGAGTGACTAAAGTTTGAATTCTATAATGTTTAATAGACAAATGAGTGAAAAGAAGTTACTTATAAATAGGTAAGGCTTCAACAATAACTCTCCTTTCAAATTTGCAATGATACCTTATCATTATTTTTACTGGAACAGGAAGAAGATCCAACCTTGTCTCTTGTTCTTACCAGAGTCCTTCCAGCACTTCTTGTAATTGTAGAATATCACTCTTATTTTTCTTCAGACTCCATTTACTAAAGTCTCTAATTTTTGTAGCATTGGAGAAACTATTCAGGGCCTTATGGAAATAGAGGAAGTTGTCAGTGATAAGTAAGCTCCTCTTTGTTACCATAGAATAATGAAAGCCATCACTCAGCTCGAAGAGATTTAGAAATCAACTTAAGGAAACCCAGCTGGATAGGGAAGGTAATCTACTGTATTTTAATTTATAGACAAATTAGATGATGATCATATAATTTTTGAAGCCAACTCTTCCAAAGATGATGGGAGTAGATTTGAAGAAGACAAAGAACCTCAACAAGAGAAAAGCATCGAATTGTCTCTTGATTTTGGTGAAGGAAAAGGACAGAGGGTAAATATCTTGATTTATTTTTAGAAAAAACAATCTTCTAAAAGTCCAGTTAAGCAAGAATGAGATGGAAACTTTATTGACTTAACTACTCCTAAAGAATCTCCTAAAGTGAGACAAAAGCCATCAAATCTCTCAGAGTCCATAGTTGGTAAGATTGTATTTCTGAAGAATAGAACTGTCTGAGAAATCATTTTACACTCAAAATGACTGAACTCCACTTAGAATTGATCTGAATGAAGACAACAGAGTTATCCGTAGAAGAGGCTATTCTAATATATTAAGGAATCAGCATCCTTCAACATGGTCTAGCATCTCAGAAATCAGTGAGATTGGAAGTCACAATCTTTCAAGAGATTTAGAAGCCATTTGCAGCCAGCTCAATCCAGGTACAATTTTCTACTGATATTTTAGAGATGGTTCAATTTGATAACAGAAGCAAGGTAAGCTCATTCCAAGTTATTCTAAAGGATGCAACTTTGTCATTGAGAGATGGGACATCAATTCCCATCAGAAGCAGGCTCACTTATCAGCTGTAACTAATACTTCTAAATTTTAGTGGCTCAGATTCAGACCAAGGCATTTCAAACTTGACTAAAATTTTGCAAGATGAGGTGTCAAATAGTTTCAGTCAGGAAAACCCTGAGGTCGACTCTTCACAAAAGTGTCAGAAGGAAACTCCTCAAAAGCTTCAAGCATCCACTGTTGAACCCCCAGCAATGGTGCTTGAAGAAGAGAAAGACAATTGAAATGAGGAAATAAAGATAGATCCCAACCTGATCCAAGCTCTGATGAGACAAAGGAAACCTTCTGCTCCAAGAAGAAAATAAGAGGGTCAAGACTTCCTCTCAAAGTGAACAATCTGTCATCAAAGAGGAGAAGAATAAGGTATCTCCCTCCCAAGCCACTGATGCAAGAAAGAAGCTCAGACCTAAGAGTATTTTGAAATAAGCCAGATAATTTTTCAGATTCTCAGTTTAAAGATGTGTAAGATTTTGGATGATTCTAGAAATAGTAAGAGAGCTGAGAAATCCAGGAGGAATAAAATAAGTAAGCCCACTTCTAAAAACAATAGGATTTGACGAAGAGTCTGAAGTTACCTACAGATATAACAAAGGGGAGAGCCTAAAGAGATATCAAGTCAGAAAGAGAAACCATATCTGCTATTGCAGTTTGAATAAATAGGGAAGAGGTATGTTTAGCATTATCTTTAGAAACTCCTTGAAAAATTCAGTTCTTCATTCAAATACAAGATATCCAAGGAATATGACTCCAATAAAACAGATTACTTGATTGTTCAAGACACTATTCTAAAGAAGAAATCTGTCACCCCAAAGTTTTACAGTGCCCTTTGTGATAACGTTCCAATTATTCAGTTCAAGTGTAAGCTTCAAGTACTTATCAACTTTAGGGATTTCTAAGTGTATGAGAGAAATGAAAAGAGTGCCTTATGGGCAGTACAAGCTGTTTCCTCACCCAAGAAAGTCTCAAGTAAGATACTATTATCAGTATAGGCTATGTTAAACCACTTGATAGCATCAAATCCAGATTTGCCAAATCCGTTCACAATGAATGGGTCAGATAATTAATAAAGTTCAATTAGTTGGAGTGACTAAGGGGTTTTGGGGTTTTGGGGTTTTGGGG